TAGACATCAACTTTACACAAATGAGTAGCAGACGCCCGTCTCTTGAAATGCAGTGTGCTGCATTGCACACCTGCTTACATGGACAATGAATGGGAAGCATGGAAATGACAGAACCTGTGGATACGTATGATAAGACTGACTTAAGGCAAGCTAGCTGTTTACTCCTGTTTCCAGTCTTTATTTTAAGCTATACTAATCACCTGCTGGCTCTAGCTTCATATTTAACTTACAGACAGGAAACTGGTTATAATCTTCCTGTGTGACTCTGCAAAGGCAAATCATCATTTAAAAATGCTTCATTTAATGTAGCATATCCCACTTTTTTCTCTTCTTTTCTGCAAGAAGCAGCACAAGAAAAAACTGTTTTTATTCCTAACAAGTGGCCTGCTGCACCAGTGAGTTTTTATAAGTCACCAGTGGATGGTTGTGTTGCTGGAGTTCTTCGTATGAAACTCTATGACCATGAAAAAGCATGTTTTCCTCATTCTGGCCCAATTTCATTTTATTAAGTAGAGCAAGTGCCTTTTTGTCCTTTAGCTTTTTTTTTTTTTTTTTTTTTAAATTTATTTAACCTTTGTTTAACCAGGAAAAGTCTTATTGAGATTAAGAATCTCTGTTACAAGAATGTGCTGGCCAAGAGTTAAATACTGACTCTGCTTTCAGAAATCACGTTCTGTAGTTATCTGGTGTCAGGTGGTTGCTTAGACAGGAATAAGACAGTGAGTCACTGGCTTGAGCAAGAACGTGTTACTGTATGTAGCAGAGGAGGTGGGGCAGGGATTTGAAAAAGAAAAAGATTCATGTCCATGGTAAACCACAGTACAATTACACAGATCCATGCAAAGCCTCACACACCTACAGAGAAGGTCAGATTCAAAAAAGTAAAGAAAGAAATATGGCTGCATATAGACTCTGTGTAGACAACGCAAACAGGAGTCCACACAGACAGGAATACATAAAGATTCCTGTTGTCATTTTGAATTTACTTTGAATGTATACAGAGGCTGTGGCTGACACCATACACCACCACAGAAGGCAGATGTAGTTGGACTGCTCGAAACTTTTGCTAAAGCACCATTTTCCTCCAGTGATCACTGATTTAAACTTAGATGTGTAGGTGGATGCAAACATGTGATACAAGTCACACATTGACACCAAGGGAATATTTTGTTGGGGAAAACCAGACGTGACATTGCAATCACATGTCCTGTCAAACATAAGTGAGCATGTTCTGAAAGTTAACCACCTGCCCCACATCTCTGCAAATGGACTCTGATTGACAGTAACAGTGTGGTGTAAAGTTTTACATTCTGACAGTTCACAGGTTGAAAGGGTCATAGGGGTCTTTGCGTTCTAAGGTTGTGCATTACAAGCTGCAAAATTACTTTATTACATAACATGGAAGCCATGAGAGAAAGTATACTGCAGGGGAGGACAAGCAAACCTGTGGCAGAACACTGAATTTTGGTATGCAGCCCCATTTCCCATGTGGTCGGTATGTCAAGATAACGCAAGTGTTATTCCATGTTTTTTTAAAATGAATATTAATCCCATGAACCCCTGTGTTGCCTGGGGTACTCAGCCCCATTCATTACTACTGAAGACATTAATCTTTATCTTTGGATTTTATCAGCTGTTGCCTCACATTCAAGAACTTAGTCACTCATGAAAGGGAAGATCACTTAACATCCAGGTGCAAAGCGGAACATTGACTCATTCACAAAAAAAAAAAAACGTGCTGTATTTTTGTACTTTTGTGATAATATTTCTATGAATAATCCACGATCAACGATGTGGTGACTCCAAAACAACAAATAACTTGCCAGAGTGACAGCAATAATTGTCATACCAGCTCTGACCAGAGCCCATTGTTCTAGTGGACTCTGGTCCAATAGAACAATGGGCCTTCAAGCCATCAGTTAATATTCACTATATGTAACCAATAAAAATTACACAGCTGGTGCATTGATTGGCCAGTTGATACCACCATTCTACACTGTTCTTTTTACTAAGTGTCTGTGCTTAAATGATCAGCTCACACACACAGTTTTCTAACTTACCACGAGCAGTGTGTAGGCATGTTTATGATGATTGAAGAAGTATGTGAGAGGTTTCGCATTCATGTAGATCTGCAATGAACCTCATCCATGAAAGCTTTTTTTTTTTTTTGTAACTGTCTTTGGCTGGGTGTTCTTCAACTGTATTGTCATTTTGGAGGCTGCAATACAATTGAAGTACAATCCTGCTGCCCCACCATGGTGCCTCCTGTTACAAAAGGACAATAACTTCTAATAACTTGTTTAACTGTAAACTAAATTGTATAATTCATCCCACTCTCACCCAGCCGGTGGAGGCAGATGGCCGTCCCTCCCTGAGCCTGGTTCTGTTGGAGGTTTTTTTCCCCCTGTGGGGGTTTTCGATTCCTTCCCACTGTTGCGGACTGCTGAAGCTTATAGGGAATCCAAATGTTTTGGATTGTTGGGTGTTTCTGCCTTTGTGAAGCGCTATGAGATGACTTGTTGTTGTAAATATGCGCTATACAAATAAAACTGAATTGAATTGAACTGAATTGAAGTATACACCATTATATACGTAGAGGTGTTCTTTAGGCCATATTCACTGATGTGAATGTGATGGACAAAATATTAAAAGTAATAGCCCGCATGGGGCCAGTGTAACACTCTTTTGCTTACGAGTATGAGTTTCCACAAAGGTCTGTGTTGCATCTGCACCTATCTGTGTACACATTAAGGATTATGATTATTGCCAAGGCTTAATGCAGTACCACTAGCAGGACAAAAGGAAGCTACAGATACTGACACACTATACTGACTGAATGAAGTGAATACACAGTCTTCAGTTACAACAGTACTCAGTGGCAGCGACTGCATATCATTGGCTTTGAGCTCATCTTCATACAGTAACAGATCTTTGTGTATAGCGCCTGTAATGCCCATGAGTGACATGAAGAGACCTTGAGACAGCAGAAAATGTGTTTCCACAAGCTGAAACTCCCATATGTGAGGGAGTTCTTGAACAATGGCAGCATCGCTCTTGGACAAGAACAATTTGCATGTGCCAGATTTACCATCCTTTTGTGTGAATGTGAGTGTGCTTGGTTGTCTGTCTCTAAGTGTAGCCCTGCGATAGACTGGTTACCTGTCCAGGTGAACCTGCCTTCACCCTGAGTCAGCTGGGATAGACTCCAGCACAACCCCCGCGACCTGAGTGACGATTAAGCGGTGTATAGATAATGGATGGATGTTCTGTGGTTGTTCTACTTTTCTGCACCTGCCCAGGGACAGCAGATGCAAATTAGCTGCTGGCTAACTCTGGTGCACTTACTTTGGTGTGCTCTCCCTGTAAAAAATAAATAAATGAATAAACTAAATTAAGCACAACTAAGTGGCTAACACCAAGGCCAGTGTTATGATTTCATCATCACCCCAAGTCTGCAAGAGTCATGGGGCCTGTACTACGAAGCAGGATTTAGGGTTAGCGAGGTAACTTCAGGCTACATCCTGGGTTTTCGGTCCTATGACAGTGGTTCTCGTCTTTCCAGGTATATCACCATGGTAACTTACGTTGAACGGCTAACCTGCTCCACTGCAGGTTCTGTTGGAGGTTGAGATCACCGGGTCCCTCCCGTAAAACTTCAGAACGAGCAGAAAACGAAGCAATTCTCAACAAAATGGAATCACCGGCACCCTGACCAGGATCTCTATGAGCTCCTGTCTTCCTTCATTTTTTTCCTGTTGGCTACAGGCAGTGTCAAAGCTATTTCAGATTTTTTTCCATACCAATATCACCCCACAACAGCAAACTGACTTTAGCATTAAAGCTTGTATTTGTAGGATATATTAATGAGCTGCACCGCTTTGAATTATGTTTATTTTTGTTCTTCATCTGTTCCCTCGTCCTTTTTACACCACCAGGGCTGCAGCTGAAAGTAAAAAAATGTCAGATATGCCACAAGAATATAGATTAGTCAACAGATTAGATAAAGGAATCCTCAGATTGTCTTACCGATATCTGACTGATTATCTGATACAATCAGTGATCATATTTTATTATAAACTAATGAACGTATTCATTCACACAGTCAGCAGTTTTCTGCCAGCATTCCTTCCTGGCTTTGGCTGCTGCAACGCTGCTGCTTTTTGCTCCTGTGATGTTTTTATATTATTCTTCATATCTTGTAAAGATTATATTCTGCTCCTCGGTGATAAAGTGCGCCGCTCTGCAGCCAGACTTGTCCATAGTCGTGATTGGTCAGATGCCAATAACTCCGCCTATTTTATGTGCACGCGCTCATGCTCAGATCAGACAGCCCTGGGTTGACCTACCGAGTTGATAGCCACCGTCGTAGGACCGGTTATCCTGAGTGCGATTGTTAGGGTTAGTCAAGCCGGATCTCTGAAACATATCCTGGGTATGTTGATCTGGCTTCGTAGTACAGGCCCCAAGAGAGTCTGCGTACACATCTGCATACAGTCAAAAAAGTAGTGTGGACACAGGGCAAGGCTAAAATCAAGGCCTAACCTTTATCCTAACCCAAACCTTAACCTAATTCCAACATTAACCAGCTTAAAAGTCCTCACAAATCCTGAAATGTCCTCACAACAGTGATCCCCATTAAAACAGCAAAACAAAACCACACACACACACACACACACACACACACACACACACACGCACACACACACGCATGCACGCACAGACTCACGCGCACACCCAGTTACACACATCCACATTGACATGCAGACAACTTACATGTAACACTGTTATCTTGAACCTTAACCATGCAACTAATGTATCACCTGCAGACAGTCTCTTTTACGTGCACACACACACACACACACCCTGCTCTTCCTGCCTGTCTGCCAGCTGAGCAGCAGCATACGTGCCGTCTCACACATCGTCTCCTCACAGGCCACAACCCTTTTCTCTCACTAGTTATTAACATAAGACCTGAATAACTCACTGCTGTGTCTCTATGGTGACGTATGCAACACATTTTATTATCATGAGTTCAGCGATTTTTACTGACTATTTTGTCAGTGCACAGCTTAAAAGTACTGCATTTTCATCTGCCTGAGTTTTCTCTTTACTCACCCCCCCATAATATCTTTTTAATTTAGAGTCTCTAGACAGTCCCAGTGCAGATGTTTAGCTTAATGTCCCATCAATTTCCTTTAAATTGATACAAAAAATAAATAACATTCAGAACTTTCAGGCTCTGGCATTCTGCCTTCATGTTAAGGTCCAATAACTCCACAGCAACGTGAACTTAAACTGTGACGTCCTGGTGACGTGAAAGGGCTCACACCAGTACCTTTATTGCATTCAACAAAAGCTCCAAGTGTCAACAAAAAAAAGGTCTCTTTTCTACACCTGCACACACACCTCCACCTCCACAAAAACAGTTATGTACCTGTGTCCTTAACTCTAGACTCTAGACGGATGTTCAAACGGATGCAGCACTGAAAATAACATCATTCCTGAAGTTCTAAACATAATAGGAGAGAACATCCACTCCCCCACTCCCACAACTAGTAAATAACAACAGCTTCAATTATACAGCGGTGAAAGAAGTGTTCACATCCTGCACTTCAGGAAAAGTACTACTTTAGAAAAAGTACATAAATATCAGTAGTAAATTGTATTTAAAGTAAGAAAATAAAAGCCCTGGTTTGACTGATGCATTATTATATATAACACCATTAGATTATTAAGCATTCATGTGTCAGCAGCATGTTCCTGTTGTAGCTGCTGCAGCTTTGAACTACTTTATGCTCAGCTTCATAAACAGGGACAGAAGGTAGATTTGAGGGCTCATCACAGAATTAATGTGAGAGGAAAGAAGAAAAACATTTTCTTATATTGTCTTCATTTCTTTTCTCGAATCTTACATTTTTGATGAGACATTTGATCATTGGAACATTTATTGAAATTAATCGTGTGAAAAGTTTAGAGGGAAAAATCACTGTTTGTTGAAGTTGACATCTAAAATGTGAGGCTGACTTCACACCGATTTTTTGAAGAAGCCAAAATGTTCAAAACCACTGGTTTAATCTTTCAGTGTGTTTTTAAAGCTTGTTATCTTGTCCACTGTGTAAAATCTTCAAGCTGTCAGATAAATGCAGTGGAATAGAAAATACAATATTTAACTGTAAAATGTAGGGAAGTGCAGGTATGAAGTAGCATAAAATGAAAATAGCTAGATAGATAGAAATACTTGATTATCCCCAAGGGGAAATTTGGTTGTTACAGCACAAAGATAAAGTTACCACCACCATAAAAACCAATAAATAAGCAAAAATAGACAATAAAAAAATATAAAATGCAAAATGTACAATAAGTGTAATATGTCAAGTAAAAACCTCCTGTGTGGCATAATGCAAATAGTAATGTGCAACAAAACAAGACTACAACAGAAGTGTGCAAAAGGCAATTTCAATGATGAAAGTACCTCAAAGTTATATATATGTACAGTTCTTTCGTAAATTTAGTCTACCATTGAAAGTGTATGACAAGGAGTACCACGGTAAGTTTTCCTCTTAAAATATACACATAATTTGCAGCTCTGCACACATGCTATTCATAATATTCAATACAGACAATTTAGCATCTGTGACAAAGGATTACAGGACATGAATTTTTGTCCTCTCAGGTAAAAAACAACAACAACAAAAAAAAAACAGTAACACTAACATAAATCCAGCACTCCCAGAAAGAATTTTAAAGGTATTTCTTCTGAATGAAAAGCAAAAGAACTTCCTGGATTATCTTCACTGATGATGGTGGGATACAGAATTTAAACATACTGGTCCCTACCTTTGTTTATTGATAGATTTTTTTTTTTACTGGCACATGTATGTGTATTGGTTTATGGGTTACTTATCATCCACACTGCTGCTCCTTTTTTTTTTTTTTTTTTTAGCAAAGCACATCAAGTTAAGTCAAGCCACCATTATTTAATTGGCGCATTTAAATCACTAAATGTTGAGTCAAAGTACTTTCCAACTAAGAAAAAAAAGATTAAAAATACATATTTATGTGCAGTTTATCCAGTTTGGGATAAACCTAAATCAGCAAACTCTAGAAAAATGTATACACATGAAGAAACAATAATAAAACATACTGTGGAAGTTGGTTGGTTGTGTTCCCAGAGTTACCCAAGATTCCATGTTCTTACTGTGTAGTGACAGGACAGATGATCAGGGGAGAGGAGTTTTCACCATCAACATTGTGACGGGGATTGAAATATGGGAAGATTCTCTCTGTGAAGTTACAGCCAGTGAAGGAGTAGATGAGAGCTGCAGTATGTACATCGTAGAAGGAGACCAGACCCTCCTCATAGTTCACAAACACCCCTACCTTCTCAGGCTTTGACTTCAGGGAGATATGGTTTGTAGAGGCAACAACCTGGTACTTTGCTCTTCTGAAACATATAGCACAGAGGTGTTTCTTAGTGATAATTTTGAAGGAGTCCTTCCTGTTGATGGACTCTGTGGCCACTCCTACAGTCCAGTCAATCTTGTCTTTAACCTGAACCTCATAGTAAAGCCTGCCTGAAGAGAAGCCCTGCTTTCCAAGAACAGAATAATAGGAAAATCTCTCTGGGCTATCTGGAATTTTCTGTTTTATGTCTCCATGACTGACTTGTTTCCCATCCTCAGACAGGATGAGATAGGGATTCGCTGTGTCAGGATCCAGAGTCACATCCACTGCAAACCTCCTGAACCCCTTCAGCTCCACTTCAGCACAGAGTTTCTTTGCCTCTTCCCTGAGTGTCTCCTCCAGCTGAGCCACAGCTCTCCTCACAGTCACCTCATATGAAGAGTGAACTCTGACCTCAGTCCAGTCTTTGGTGGGAGGAGCAGGGTTCAGAGACGGGAAGCTTTGGAGGAAGAGGAGCTGGTCTTCAGTGTGTGAAAGCTGCTCCACCTCAGAGCTTCTCTTCATCAGCTCACAGATTTCCTCTTCCAGCTCCTTGATGAAGCCTTCAGCCTGTTCCTCTGTGCTTTTCTGCTTCTCTTCGATCATGTGGGTGAGCTGAGCCAGACCTCTCTCTACAGACTGGATCAGAGCAGTGAAGACCTGCACACTGGCTGCTGTCTCTCTGTCTGCCTCCTCCTTACTGAGCTTCACTGACTCTCTGATCTGATCCATCTTCAGTCGTCTCTCCTCGATCATCTGGTGTATTTCAGTCTCTGTCTTCTGCAGTTTAGCTTTCTGTTGCTGATATTCTTCAATCAGAGGAATAGTAGCATGCCTCCAGTGATTTGACTCAGTGCAGAAATGACAAACACACACCTGATCAGTCTGACAGAACAGCTCCAGAGGTCTGTCATGCTTCTTACACAGTCTGTCTTCCAGGTTCTTCACTGGACCCATCAGCTGATGTCTTTTTAGACCTGGTGTTCCATGATGAGACTCCAGGTGAGTCTCACAGTAGGAGGTCAGACACACCAGGCAGGACTTCACAGCCTTCAGTTTGGTTTCCGTGCAGACGTCACACAGAACTTCTCCTGCTTTGTCTCCATGATGCATTGAACTGCTGCTGCTGGCTTCATGTTGAGCTGACAGTCTGAACTGACCTGCAATCTCAGATATAAAAGTGTTGACTCGAAGTTCAGGTCTTCTGCTAAGAGGCTCTTTACACATGGGACACTGAATGTGGACATTGACAGTCCAGTGTTGTGTGATGCAGCTCTTGCAGAAGTTGTGTCCACATGGTATGGTGACTGGATCAGTGAACACATCCAGACAGATGGAGCACAGAAGCTGATCTTCAGAGAGGAGACTGTTGGCTGTTGCCATGTCTAGGAACAAAAATGTAAAAGTGACAGAATAAAACTCTTAACTCAAAATAATTCATATTATTACAATATCAGCAAAAAAAAAAAAAAAAGCACCGCTACTAAAGTATTAAAGTAGGATCTGGCTGTAATGATGCTCACTGGTCGAAGTGCAACAGACAACATGGTGACAAGAGACGTAGGCAGGTCATGTTCAAGCAAACAGCCCAGCAGAAAATAAGGCTCATCAGACTTTATGCTGTGTTTGTGTGAGTACTCACTCTTCCTTGTTAACTCCCTTTGATTGTTGTTTAAAATACAGCAAACTGCGTCAGCTTCTCTCACTGCTTGTTTTCAGAGGCTCTGTTGTACTGCAGAGTTACTTTCTGTTTCATTTCCTGTAAAACATGTGACTTCTCACTGTTGATCCGCCCCTTAATGCAGGGCATGACAACACAAAGGACAATTTATGGCTGTAAACTGTAAACTGATGTACTGGATGCTGTCATCAGTGTCTGTTCTCTGAGCTGTGTGTTCAGAGGTGGTGGGAGGTTGCTCTGGCTGAAGCTGGGTGAGTTGTTGGGTGAATTCAGAGAGAATCTCAGACGATCTGCTCTCTAAGAGCAGTGGCAGGTCAGTCCATCAGAACCTCTCCAGTGGACTTCCAGGCCTGTCCTGCCCCCTACTGGCCTGGCTTATGAGTCACAGCTGAGCCTAGCTACAAACAACAACAGTGGCTAACATCACCTATGGTAGATGGTAAATGATTGCACTTATATAGCGCTTTTCTACTTCAGTGGCACTCAAAGTGCTTTACAATGTGTTTCTCATTCACCCATTCACACATTCCAGGCAGGACTTCACAGCCTTCAGTTTGGTTTCCGTGCAGACGTCACACAGAACTTCTCCTGCTTTGTCTCCATGATGCATTGAACTGCTGCTGCTGGCTTCATGTTGAGCTGACAGTCTGAACTGACCTGCAGTCTCAGATATAAAAGTGTTGACTCGAAGTTCAGGTCTTCTGCTAAGAGGCTCTTTACACATGGGACACTGAATGTGGACATTGACAGTCCAGTGTTGTGTGATGCAGCTCTTGCAGAAGTTGTGTCCACATGGTATGGTGACTGGATCAGTGAACACATCCAGACAGATGGAGCACAGAAGCTGATCTTCAGAGAGGAGACTGCTTATGAGAAAACCAAACCCCTGACAGTCCAGAGGTGAGACCAGGAAGCAGAGTTGCAGTCTTACACGCTTCTCTGCTGCTTCTCCATGGCTGTCACCCTTCCAGTATCCTATAGGGACTGTGTCTGCCCCCGACCACCCAGATTCTATAAGTCTAACTTTAACAATGGAAGGGCTGTTCAGAACAACCTTCTTCAAATTAATACATCTCTATCAGCACCAAACAACAGGACAATTAAATGTGGACTATTAAACATTAGATCTCTGTCATCTAAGTTTTTGTTTTAGTTAATGATCTGATAACAGATCATCATATTGGCCTAATGTGTCTGACTGAAACCTGGCTGCAGCATGAAGAACATGTTTGATCCAAAATGCTGCTCAGGATCACCTGAACTGTCCCTTAGTTATGCTGCTATAGCATTAGACTGCCGTGGGATTCTAATGATGTACTGAGCTCCTCTCCTCTCCTCTCCTCTCCTCTCCTCTTCCTTCCATGCAGTTATAAGATTCAAGATTCAAGAGTTTTGTTGTCATATGCACAGCAAAACAGGTAGTTATACCACACAATGAAATTCTTATTCTGTTCAATCTCCCGAAAAAAGACGACACATTAAAATAAATAAAGCAAGCAAATAAGAACAACAATAAACAATTAAAAGCAACAATAAAATGTTCAGTGGTATGAATGTGTGTGTGTGTGTTGCGTGCAGCGTGTGTGAGCGAGTCATTGAGAAGCCTGAGGGCCTGTGGGTAGAAGCTGTTTGCCAGCCTTGTAGTCTTGGCCTTCACACTCCTGTAGCGTTTGCCTGATGGTAGGAGTGTGAAGAGTGAGTGTTGCGGATGTGTGCTGTCTTTGATGAGGTTGTGTGTTCTTTGTAGGACCCTGGTTTTGTAAATGTCTTGCAGTGAGGGGAAGGCTGCCCCAGCAATGTGCTGTGAAGTCTTGATCACCCTCTGGAGTGCCTTCCTGTCTTGTGCTGTGCAGTTTCCGTACCAGACCGTGATAGAGGTGGTAAGGACACTCTCGATAGTACATTTGTAGAAGCAGCTGAGGATTTTGGTTGACATGCCAACTTTTCTCAGTCTTCTCAGGAAGCACAGTCTCTGTTGGGACTTCTTGATAATGTGTTGTGTATTGTATAACACCATTACATGTCACTGACTCTGTGTTTCCTCTGAGGTCCTGGGCTTGTTCTCTCTGAGGACGTTTGTGGATCCGGAGCTTCACGTCCCTGACCTGTAGTCGCCGGTCTCACCGACCCTCAAAACATTTCTTATCTATTGTTCCATTCTATTGCTTGCTCTCCATTTGCTATCCTGTCCCCCATTTTGGTCTTTTGTTCTTATTATTTGCTTCTGCAGGTGAGACTGCCACACAGAAGTACATAAGAACTCATATACAGTATAATTGTTAGGAGTGAGCTCCTAATTTACAGGAAGTGGACCCAAAATGCGACAAAGGAGGCGGGTTGCAATAACAAAGGGGACTTTATTGGGAACAGGAGTGAGGACACCAAGGAAGCAGGAGGGGGGAGTGCTGGTCTTCGTGGGGGGAGGTGAGAGGGTTTCCGGGGACTCCCGAGGTGTACTCCAGTGTGAAGGGGGGAATCCGTGCTCCAGGGAGAAGGTGCTTGTGATGACTTGGCTGGGGGGACGTCAGACTGAGGAGGCTCTGAAGGGGATGATGAAACAACAAGGTCAGGTTAAACTAACAAATGACAAGCATGACAACTCGAGACGAAGCGTGGCCGCTCTACCACTCATTGGGGAGACATTCCTCTGGAGCTGCATCACGGGAAGAAGCCTGCTTAAAAGCAGCGCTGATTGCGATGAGGGACAGGTGTGGTGGAGAGCGAGTGAGTCCTCCTCGGCCACAGCCCGCCCAGCCTGAAAATGCAAAGCACAGCAAAACTAAAACACACACAGGAAATACAACTACCAAAATAAAGGCTCAAGACTAGAACCCCAACAATAATAAGTTTTTTTTAAGTAGGCCTCAATGGAAAATCTAGAATGACCACTAAAGTTCTGGTTTTTGAAGTGTTGATAAAGCTCATAAGATAACTGCAACCGAAATCACATAAGATAAGTACATGCAAGACTCTTAAGTGAACAGTGCCCTTGTTCTAGTTGAGACATCACGCAGTGTCCATCCAGCCTTTAGATTCTTTCTCCTGGCTGCAGGCTCTAGGTCAATCTTTCATTGTTCAGCAGTTTGTTTCCAGAGTTTGTTATTTTGCAATATTATTCTGTGCATTGTCCAATGACAATAATTCAAAATCTATGAATTGCTACAAAAGCAGTACAAACATTTTCTGGTTGGTCAGAACTACGTGGTGGTTAAATGGGAGGTGGCTGTGCTGCTAAAATCCATCTGTATAAGAACAAGAGAAATGGTTCTGCAAAAAATGTTCTACAAAAATAGGTTGTTTTTGGATGTGACTTCAGTTCCAAGAGACTCTACTATTGGTCGTGTGAGGTGACCAGGATTCAGTCTGTGGTCACCCCAGGATACTCAGTGTCCACCATGCCTACATGCCATGGATTTCTCCGAAATTATGTTGAAACCTCTAGGATTGTTTTTATTATCCACAAGAATCTTACTTTTATTTGTAAAGTAATACTAAGTAAAATATTTAGAGAAAATCTGCAATGGCAATACAGAATGAGGAAAATCCCCTTTGAAGTCAAAACCTCCTCAGCACATCTTTTATATTGGTGCCAACAGAACACGGAAGATACTTTGTTGAACAAAAGCATTAACACCAGCAGAACAAAACCTCCCTACCTGCTACCAGTCCTAATAAAGTTAATGTAATTTAGATTAAAAAGAAACATGCATTACCAAGAAAATTAAGGTATGCATCAATCGGAACAACCTGGTGACAGGATAGAAGTTTTCTGTTTGCTCTGAAAGGCCAGATGGGACACAGTGACAGAAACTATGGGACAGAAGGAAAACTTCATGCCAGGAGATATCTAATTATTTAAGAACTAAAATCTGGTTATACTAGTATTTAGGAGTACACTGTGTTCCCATAAGTACAAATGCAAATTGCTGAAGCTTTCAATATGTTGAGCCAAAACTGATATTACTCGCCTACTGTTCCCACAAACTCTTTTACAGAGCGTCATCCAGTGTGGGATGATCAGATAGGCTGAAATCCAACATAAATTTCAGAAGTGTTAAACGTCACCCTTCCCTTGAACAGATATACGGACAGTGTTTTACCATACAAGGACAAATGCACTGACCCAAACATATCATGCATCATGGTTAGAAGTGAAAGTACAGAATGTTACAGTGCGCTGCACACACAGGCTATTTGCACTTAGAATATATCTTTATTTTCTATGTGTATCTACAGTGTAATTCATTAAAGACAGACTTCACCCACCTAGTCCCACAGGGATCAGAAATAACGAGTCATTGTGGAAGACAAGAAAAAAGAAACTTGCCGTGTTCTGTTGGCACCATCAGAATGTCACACTTTCTGCCTTTGTGGCCTGCCAGTACCAACTCTTACTGTTTAAATAGAGTGAATATTACTCACCTGCTGTACTCTGAGGCTGTGCTGAAAGGAATGTTGAGAAACCCCCAGACCAGAGGTATTCAATTAAAAGTCCCTGAGGTCCAGTTATTACAATTTCCTCCAAGTAAAAGGTCTGAACCAAAGTTCAGTTTGTGTCTTATAGCCTTCCGCTATGGCCACATTTTCATGGTTTCAACAATACCTACTGTCAATTTTCAGTGCAGGGTATGTTTAACTAAGCGCACAGCTAGCTCTTTCACCATACATTGACATGACCTCTGCCTTTGGCTCCACCTAGTGTAGCATTTTTGGTAATGCTTCTTTTCCAGTGCATCAAGCCAGAGGGACGGTGACCAGGTGCCCTGAATCACAATCAGCTGATTGCTCCAGCTGCAGCGAGGCGTGGCTTGCCATTCACTCTCAGACCTGCATCCAGTATTTAAGATGCCAGCAAGCCACAAGTTGACGTCGGGTTGCTGTAAAACCTATGTTAGTTTTGCTCTTGTTCGTATGCGCTGTTTGGTAACCTTGATTCTTGTTCTCACGCTATTCTCCTGTCCTGTGCTTCAGTGTTGCCACATTCATTGCCAACCCGTGATCCATTCTTCGTCCCTGATTCCCTTCCGTTCGATTCCTCTGGCTCCAGTCCTCCATATCTTCTGCGTCCCTCTCCTGAAGTCATCCGGTCCACCTCCGGCTCCCCCTCTCTAGTTTTCCCGTATTGCAGTGAGCCTTGTCTCTCGCCTACTCAACCAGTAGTATGATTGATAGGTTTGTATTCATCGCGGTAAGTTTTTGATTCTTAATTTGTAAGTATAGTTCGTCGTCCTTTAGAGGACATTTCGTGAATATTCTTGTAGGTATTTGTTAGCTGTAGTTTACTTCGCCGGTCCGTTTGGGAACCTTTGTTCACATTTGTGTTAATGATTGTAAATAAAGAGGGCTGCATTGTATTCAACGTCTTGGTGGTCAAGTATTTTGTCTGTGCCTGAGCTTTTGTTTGCCAAACTGTGACATATATATATATATATATATATAAGTAGTCCCAGGCAAAAAAAATGAGGCTGTAGTTGCTAGTTATGTGTGGTGACTGTCTACCACAGGTGGCAGCGTTGCTTGGTGTGGCAGGGGAAGTTTATTTATTGCACAGGTGTTAGGGCAAGGTAAGGCCAGTAACGCATGGGTGATGGGAGATCAGACGGTTTTTACCGCTGTCACAGCTTGCAGGCTCATCACCTCAACCATTGTCTCCCATCACGTAAGCATGTTTTAATTTTTGTAAACCCAAGTTGAATTAAATGGGAACATCACCCGACAGCAGATATTGCCTGGACATTCATTCCTTCAGCGCGTCAAAAACAAGGTCTTTGCCCACACCCAGCTGAGTGGCCGATCAGCTGATCGTCACTACAGAGGCCTTTATTTCAGATTAGAGAAAACAGAAAACGCATTTAAAAAAGTGCAAACAGAGCCGAATAACCCTTTTATCTCTTAAATTAGAGGTCCCAGCCTAAAGAACTGAAGGCCTCCACTTCAAGTAAAAAAAAGTCAAAATCCTCAGAAAACGATACATAAAAGGTTTGGTTTGCACGTGGGCTGCAAGGTTCTGTCTGTCTCTAAGTGTAGCCCTGTGATAGACTGGCGACCTGTCCAGGGTGTCCCCTGCCTTCGCCCCAAGTCGGCTGGGATAAGCTCCAGCCCCCCCTAATGAGGATTAAAGTGTATAGAGCAGGGGTGTCGAACTCCGGTCCTCAAGGGCCGCAATCCTGCAAGTTTTAGATGTGACCCTCTTCCAACACACCTGATTCAAATGATCAACTCATCATCAAGCTCTGCAGAAGCGTGATAACGATCCAGATCATTTGAATCAGGTGTGCTGGAAGAGGGAAACATCTAAAACTTGCAGGATTGTGGCCCTCGAGGACCAGGATTAGACACCCCTGGTATAGATAATGGATGGATGGTTTGCATGTTGCTGGGCTGCAAATGTGTGTGATGAGTCGGATAGATCTGTCATACTGGGCCTGCATCTGTTTTGCGTGCCCTCAGCTCTGACTTCAGGGGATAACTTTGCTCTAAAGAGCTGTGCTTTGTTTCGTAGTGGCACTTCACGTTGCTATTTTTAATTAATGCCACGTTTTCAGAGCATATGAGGCACACTGGTTGTGAAATGCCTGATGGAAGAATGAACATACATTTCTCCGTCCACTCATCTTCAAAGCAACTTTTTTTCCCATCAACCTGCCTTCTTCTGGAGCAAGCCATGCTGTCATCACTGTCTCTTCCTCTCTGCTCTGCTGTATAGGCAAAGGCAGAGTGGCAGCAAGCTGTGGCGGTGCGCTGGCCGTGCAGGGTAACCAAACGCTTTGATTGGCCGACTGAGTGGAGCTATTGCCGCAGCTGCGTCTAAAGATGCGACTGTCGGAAAAAAATGCTCCATGAAAATCTATTCTCATGTATTTATCAGAGACTGGTCACGGGTCCGGACAGAACCATCACTTGGTCTGGATCGAGGTCCGCCATTTGGTGATGCTTGCCCTAAAGTATCGGTGATCAGTCTGTCAAAACACAGTTATCTCAACTGTGCTTTCACTCTGAGTCACTTTCTGAGTCACGGTGACAGACCACGGTATGGAACTGACAATGAAAAGAACAACCAGCACCGCAATCAACTGACCATCAACCTGGCAGGACAAGAGCTGCAGAACTGCATCTGTGGCTGGTCAAAACTAACACGAGCAAGGGGCCTTAAAATCCACCAAGGCTTAAAGAAATGCCTCAGCAAGCTCAGCAAGAGGTCCAATACTTCTTAAGAAGTCGCCAAATCAGTTGAGTGAAGCCCAGAGGCAGGAGAACCTCAGGGTATCAGCACCTCAGATGAAGCTCAGTATCGCATAGACTCTCCAGCCGGGAGTCCAGCAAGGAACAGCCAGCAGCAGTCTCCAGCCTACTGCCCAACCAGCCGCTGCCAGCAACAGAAAGGAAGATGGAAGGAAGGAAACCTCAGATCCTGTTGCCTAAATCCAGCCATAAGAGAGACTGGGAGACCATTTTTTCAGACCTTGTCCTCCTACTAGAACAACAGAAGGGTCCTGTTGAGAGAAAACTGGAGAAAATGGGATCCATCATCTACAGCTATGGTGCTGAGAGGTTTGGGATAAAGGGCAAAACGCAGAGGCAGCAGAAAACCAGTTGAAGTTCAGGAGGCTGTGGGATATTTGTTCTATGGCACTTATCTAGATTGTTTTCTCCTGACTAGATCCTTGCTTGTGTTGTATCTGCTCTCAGATGTACGTCGCCTTGGACAAAAGTGTCTGCTAAATGAAATTGTAGAATTGTAGATTTTAATGGATGGTGAAAGAAAGAAGACAACTGAGAAAGCAGCGGAGGAAGGCCACAGAGATTGAAAGAGTGGGACTTGACTGTCTGCAGGCTGAAATGAAGCAGTGACTGACCAAGCTGTGAAGATCAGAGCGCCTCAGACGACAAAGCAGGAGGAAAGAATGGACAAAGGACCTTCTTCTACAAAAATCTCTATAGCTTTGTTAAAGGCCTCTTTGACTGAGAAAAGAGTGAGACCCTGAAAGTGCCCATGAAAGATCTGGAAGAGTACCTGAGGAAGACCTACTCTGATGATCAGAGGCATGAGCCAGTCAGCATCCCCAACGACATACCACCAATTCATGCACCTGAGAACCAAATGGACCTAAGTCCCTACATATGGAGTAAGGTGGAGAAATCCTCTGGTCTAGTTACTGCTGGCTTGCCTACATCATAGAACTGAAAGTTCCCAGGGAGAACCCCATAGAAGAAGCATATGAGCGTAAGAAGCTGTGTTGCTCCAATCCTAGCCGCCGAGGCAGAGGACAGAGGCTGGAAGATTAGGGTGTGCCCTGTTCTGGTGGGGTGCAGAGGCTTTATAGCCAGCACAATTGCGAAGCTCCTTAGAGAGGTCGGAGTCAGGGGACAGGCTCACAGACAGGCCATCAAAGAGCTGGTAAACACCACCGAGAGGACAAGCCATTGGCTGTGGCTGAAGAGGAGCGACACCACCTGGGCTGCTAAGGAAAACAACTAACCATGGGACACACATCCAGGCTTGATCCACCTGTGGTGGGCCTGCCTCAGCAGAGGGTGTGTTGTGATAACACCCCGAAACACCCCATGATGCTGAGATACACAACTGATGATGTGTTCTGCTGGTAAAGCCTTATAGCAGCCATCCGTCAAGAACTCCAAAATCAAAAGTGGTGCAAACACTAGGGATTGCAACATCTAGTCCTTTCAACAAACCTACAAAACTTACACTAAGCTGAGTGTCATTGTAATGTCTTTAGCTTTGCAGATATAGACAGATGACAAATTAACAATGAGGTCCACATAAAGTGTCTCAGTAAGGTGTTGGACCACAGCGGGCTGCCAGATCAGCTTTATTGGGCTTTGACATTGATTCCCTATGTCTCTGGAACTCTACTGAAGGAATGGAAACCATTTTTCCAACTGATATTCCCTCATCTGGTGTTTTGATGATAGTGATGAAGAGTGCAGTCTAACTCGTTGGGCCAAAATCCCCCATAGGTGTTAATTCAGTGAATCCTTGCACCATATGGATGGGGGATACCTGAAAGAGACCACTCCCACTGAGATAGAAAATTTTCATCCCAAGATGAAAGTGATCACTCAGAACATCCCAAACTATGCCAGCAAAATTCCCTCCACAGCTTAACAGAGCCACCACATCCCCTCACTGTGGGGCCAGTGTGCCTTTGCCTTTATCGGACAAACTAATTTTTTGATCCAATGATCGTGCTAGAGGAAAAGATAAGGGATTACTTTATTCATTGCAGTTCATTCTAAGACTGCTATGAATGTCTGCGACAATTTTCACAACAATCGTTTCAATAGCTAAAGAGACATTTCAATCCACAAATATCAACCATATGGAGGAAAAGGTCAGAGGATCATTGAAGTCATGAGGATACATGTTTCAGAACCATGAATGTCTACAAAATGTTGTGCCAATCCTTGTATTAGATGTTTAAATGTAAGAACTTTGACTTGCTGGTGGTCTGAATGGAGCTGCAAGTTAATCATCACTCTGGTATTAAGAATCATCCTGTGGATACCGTGATTGTCCCTATGTCTTTGAACTGTGGAAGGAAGGTGGAGAACCCAGAGAGAACCCACACTGCACAGGGAGAACATGGAGACTCCACACAGAAAGATCCTGGGTGTCCTAACTGGGACACAAACCAAGGCTCTTCTAGCTGTGAGACGACGGTTCTAACCACAGAGTCACTGCAAGAAAATATTGATTAGTGCAAGTTGAAACATGAAGAGTTTAACAGTCAGGCAGATTTGCTGACTTATTAACAGTATTCTTGATTTTGTTTACAACAGCATCCAGAAGATGCACTTTTTTTAAACTAAATTTGTCATTTTTACTCATGACTGCATCTGTAATATATTCTTAGTAGAAACAAGGCACAGCTATGTATTATGTTTGCTTTAAGATTGCAATGACAGATTTAAAGTATGAATGTGTCAGTAAAGAAACAGACTGCAAAAAATTACAATGCTGAAACTTTATTTCAGGTTGAACACAATTTAGGAACACACAAAAAACTTGTCATTGTCCCAGGTGTCGTAATTTCACTTGCACTCCAAGTAACATTCTAAATTTTGTGCACCTGTAATACAACATGCTACAGATTAGCTCAACATTAGTTCATCATTTATTTTTACTCTAAATGGGACCATAATTTAATAAATTTATTTTATGCTGTATTCAAAAAGTCTTGAAACTAGCAATCAAGACTTTTAACTCATCAGGCAAATGTTGACTGAAGTAACAAATCAAATCTGAAGTAGGATAATTTTCTAACAGACATTTAGACAGTATGACTTCCTTTTACAACCAGAAGAGTCGCCCCCTGCTGCTCATGATTTATGCAAGTGACCACATGACGGGTTACTGAATGGCTATGCCCATCTCTTATATACGTTCTATAAATTCATTGTATGTTTCCTATCACACCTTCCATGATCATCCAAGTAAGTTTTGACCGTCACATGCTTCTGCCCCGACAGCCTGTGATACGGTAGACTCTGCAGACTTCAGCTGTCACTATCAGGTCTTGCCAAAGTGAACTTTCCAGAAGGGTCTGGGACGAACCACTTCTCCCACAGATCCAAATGGACAGCAGGGTAATTCCATGGTTTGAATGGGCCGTTCCAGTGCAGCAGATGCGCCCCCTGCAGGAAGGTGTCTGAGTAGCTGGCATCTGGACTCCAGCCTGGACACACCACACAGGAAGGCTTTTTAAAAATTGAGCTGAGGTTGGCACTATGCACAACATGCACTACAATTGTCTGCTCTTCTGCTTCATAAAAGTTTGTCTACCACTGAATTTTTGTACTTGTTGCTGACTGACCAACATGAGGCACAGCAGTGTTGTGTACTTTACAACTCAGATTGTAAGTAAATTGTCCTGTTGTGTGCATGCACAAAGAAGAATTAATATTTTCACTTTGTTTCTAAAAAGTGTCTTTCTTTCTTTTTCCTTTTCTTTTTTCTTTTTTTTTTTAGCTTTCCATCCTCTGACATCTACTTGTTATGTCAGACATCACTGAGCCAGTGAAGAGTAGTGATGAACTCACCCAAGTGTCTGACATGCCACAGGGGGTCCAGTGTTGTGAATTTCTCATGAAACACTATCAGCATGGGTGGAGTTGCCACACCGCCTGCCATGGCACTGCTGTATATGTTCTGCCTGTTGGATAAGGGAGAGAAGGTTTCTGATCAGACAAGTGGTTCTACTAGCCTGAAATGACCATGCACTGAAGCACCTAATTTGAATATTTTACGTTCTCTGGGTGCAGCTGGAGTGTGTGTTCTCATGTTTTCAGGCTGGGAGGGGCTGATTGGAGGAGAACGCTCCGGCACTGTCACAGCTGCAGCTCATCATCCTCGTTACACGCTGGATAAAGCCACCAATCCATCTGTGCTCCAGTGCGAGACGACTGCCTACTGTGCCTACAGTAGTACATTCGGTCGGCAGCTCCAGTACATGTGCGTTTCGCTATTGTTTTTCGAGTTCACGAGTAACAGTGTGTTTTCTTGCTCTCCAGTGTCTCCTCCACCGGCCCCAGCGTCCAGCCTCTCCAGCCCACCACGTCAGCCTTTGTTCTCCTCCACGGAGCAACGAACCTGAAATTCCTTCACACGAGCACCAGCAAGGGAGACGACTACACGGGAGATCACCCCCCACCATGGCACCAGTGCACCTGCCCCGGATTCACCTGCCTCCTGGTGTCCCCCACACCCTGGTTCCCTTGAATAAAGCCTGTTATTCCTTACCCTGCTCCCTTTTCGTTTTGGGTCCTGCACTCACACACACCTTGTGGCCATAGGCCACAACACTCATCTGTGATGATGAGCTGAGACTGTCCAATGAAAAAAGTTCACTTGGACATTTGTGCAAGAAGCTTATTATGAGCCACAGTTAAGTTTTATTGTTATGCAACTCTAGTTGCCGCCTGAGACAGTCATTTCTGCAAGCTTTTTAAAAATGAAGCAGGTTTTCATTTAAATGACAGGGCATTAGGGTTAGAATCACAAAGTCTGTGTAGGGAGGACAAGGCATGGACCATTCATTTTGAGTTTGGAACTTGGTTGTCGCCATCTTCGTCTTATGAAACCAGACAAAGCAAGCAATACATGGGCTGGCTCTGTTTGAGAACTTGAGGACACATTGATAACGTAATGACTTGCCAGTAACAAAGAGACTAATTATTTCACATGCCTGCTTTATCACTTGTTTTACTCTGTAGATGCAACTATAACTCACAAAATAAACATCATGTTGTATTCAAAAAGGTCCAGAAACATGCTGAGGTTAATTGGTGATTGTAAATTGTCCGTAGGTGTGAATGTGAGTGTGCTTGGTTGTCTGTCTCTATGTGTAGCCCTGTGATAGACTGGTTACCTGTCCAGGTGAACCTGCCTTCACCCTGAGTCAGCTGGGATAGACTCCAGCCCCCCATGACCCTAGTGAGGATTAAGGTGTATAGATGATGGATGGATGGGTACTAAAGTAACAAATGAGGTGTTTTTCTCATAGACCTTTATACAGTCAAGGCTTCTTCTTACAACCAGGGGAGTCACCCATTGCTGATGTTCAAAAGAATACAGGTTTAAGGCACTTCCATGTTGCCTTCACTTTTCAGAACACAAGTCTGTATATACAGTCTTTAGAGAGATGTTGGTTTCCCTTTTCAAACATTAATATTGTTTCTTTCAAGAATATAACTCCATAAGTGTAGATGTGTGTTTATCATGTTGCACAAAAGGTTGGAAGGCCCTCTGACCCCAAGAAAGTACTGATTTTAACTCAAACTGTGATTTTTCATGGTGATTAGTCATAAAGAGATTTTTTTTTTACAACTTTATTTATACTTTTTCCATAGTATAAAAACAATGACATCCTTTCTTACGTATTTCTTACAAAAGTTGTAAACCCCCCCCCCCCCATCCAGGTGGCATCCCCACAAATACACGCACTGAGACACTCACATGTCAAACAGGCAAACAGAACATCAAAAGAAAACAAATATACACCGATACAAACGAGAAAACAAGAGAAAAAAATAAAAAAATAAAATAAAATAAAATAAAATAAAAAATAAAGGCTCCAACCGATTGTTATGGACATAACTCCAACATTCTGGACCTCTGGCATTAGAAAAGAGAAAGAAAAAAAATAAAAATAAAAGGTCCCAACAGTCAGCATATGGACATTGAAAATACTAGGACGGTAGTCATAGTGAGGGAGAAAATTAAGAGTTAATTAATTAATAAAAGCAGGGAGTCAGGCAAATGGCAGGCTCTTGATATGAGTTATGAACTGCGACCAGGTACTGTCATATTTATCCTCCAACCCGTGTACTGCATACCTAATATTTTCCAGGGCCAATCCCAACATTACCTCTCTAATCCAATGAACAAAGGCAGAAGGGTTCTTCCCCTTCCAGTTCAGCAGAATCAGACGTCGGGCATGCACAGATGCAAAGGCAATTGCATTTTTGTGAGAGCGGGACATTTTTAGCTCATCCCAAACTACACCAAAGATAGCTATCAAAGGGTCAGGCTGCAGTGTTTTGCCAGGTATGGCTGAGAGCGATTGGAAGATTGAAGACCAGAAACCACATAGAGAAGGACATGACCAGAACATGTGCCCCAAAGAAACTGGGGAATATTGACATCTAGGACAGTTCGGTGCAACATTAGAGTAAAGTTTTGACAGTCTGTCATTAGAGTAATGCAACCTGTAGACGACCTTAAACTGGATCAGGCCATGTCTAATGCAGAGAGAAGATGTGTGTATACGCTGTATGTTATTTTTCCAGGTGTCTTCAGGTATTATTTCTCCAACTTCTACTTCCCACGCTGCCTTGATTTTGCCCCACGTATGAGGGCAGCTATCCAGAATTAATGCATATATTTTTGATATTGCTCTTTTATTGAGTGGATTTACATTAAGTACTAGATACAGCAGGTCTTTAGAGGGTGGGGATGGATACCCTGGGAAAAATTTAGAGGCAAAACTCCAAGCTTGAAGATACCTGAAGTAATGAGACTTTGGTAAGTTATGATCTTCACATAGAAAATTAAATGTTGCAAAGCCGTCATCGGTAAAAAGATCTTGAAAGTAGACCAAGCCACTTCTGGGCCAAACGGCAAATGCTTGGTCTATTTGGGATGGTGCAAAAAAGATGATTAAACATTATTGGAGAAAAGCTGCATATACTTGTCAAGTTAAAATGTTTTCCGAACTGACCCCAGACCTTAATTGAGTTTTGGACCACCAAATTAGGGTTCAGTTCAGCTGTTTTAATGTTTAGTGGGAGAGGGGCAGCTAGGACTGAAATTGGGGAAACTGGGGGTGTAGCTCTCAGCTCCACCTCAGCCCAGACCGGACCCTCCTTATCTGCGAATGTGGTGAGCCAATATGTCAGCTTGACAATATTAGCTGCCCAGTAGTAAAGTAAAAAATTTGGTAAACCCAAACCGCCATCAGATTTATCTCTCTCCAGGCTCGCCTTCTTAATACGAGCAGGTTTTTTATTCCATATGAATGAAGAGATACAGCGGTCCAGCTGAGCTAAATAGGATTTGGGGAGAAAAATGGGGAACATTTGGAATAAGTAAAGAAACCTGGGCATTACAGTCATCTTCACTGCATTTATCCGTCCTGCCAGTGAGAATGGGAGTTTCGACCACCTATCCAAGTCTAATTTGGTACGATCTAAAATAGACCTATAGTTATGCTGAAAAATAGCCTTAATTGAGCCTGCTATCTCTATTCCCAGGAAAGTGAATTTGTCATTTTCAATTTTAAAAGGGAAATTTTCATAAGTGATCTGTTTTGCCAGATTATTCAATGGAAATAATAAAGATTTTGACAAATTGACTCGATACCCTGATATGTAACTGAATTTTCATAGCCAGTGGAGAAGGTGGGGCATGCTCTCACTTGGGTCTGATATTTGCAAAAGTAGGTCATCAGCATAAAGCAAGGTTTTGTGGTCTGTTTCACCCCTGGATATACGCTTAATCCTGCAATCAGATCTAATGGCAATTGCCAGTGGTTCCGTTGCAATGTCAAACAGGAAAGGGAGACAGACAGCAACCCTGTCTTGTACCTCTGTGGAGTTAAAAGTATTCTGAGATCAGGCCATTTGTCCTGACCGCAGCCATAGGTGTTGAGTATAGGACTTTGATCCACCTACAAAAAGTGGGCCCCATTCCAAATTTTTCTAAGGCTGTGAAAAGATAGGTCCATTCGATTCTATTGAATGCCTTTTCAGCGTCAAGACTTAAAATAACTTCAGGATGGACAGTTGAATGGGGGGAAAATAACACATTAAATAATCTTCTCATATTAAAAAATGATTGCCGTCCAGGAATAAAGCCTGTTTGGTCCTCATTAATAATTGTGGGGATTATAGGGTCTAATTGTTGTGCAAGGGTTTTAGTTAAAATTTTATAATCACAGCACAGAAGGCTTATTGGCCTGTATGAGCTACACTGTACAGGATCCTTATCTTTTTTTTGTAAGACTGAAAGCGTGGCCTGGGTAAGCGTTTGCGGTAATTTCCCATTCGTCAAAGATTCGTCATAAACAGATTTAAGGATGGGTGCAAGTTTTGAAGAGAATTCCTTGTAAAACTCTATGGGGAATCCGTCCGGACCTGGCACCCTTCCTGTCTGACATGATCTGATGGCATTCACTATTTCCTCAAGCGAATCAAGAAACGAGTGGATCTCTGATGAGCTACTAGCTACCTCCGATTGATATAGCGTAGAATAGTATTGTTTAAACTGGTCAATAATAACTTGGGGGCTGTTGGATATCAAATCAGCGCCTGTATTAATACCTGGGATCATTTGTTCAGCTAACTGTTGTTTAAGTTGAAGTACAAGGAGCCTCCCCGCTTTATCTCCATGTTCATAGTATACCTGTTTAGCTTCAAAAATATTCTTTTCAGCTTTCCATGTCATAAGTGTATTAAACTCACTTTGCAACATTAACTTCTCCTTATAAAGATCTGACGTAGGTGAAAGAGCATAACACCTGTCAATATCTGCGATTCTGTCAGTTGTCTGGAACGCTCCTTATCCATATGTGCCACATAAGAGATAACTTGGCCCCTAATGTAAGCTTTCATAGACTCCCACAAGACTCCCCTTGATACATCCTGAGTGTCATTAATTTCTAAAAAGAAGTCAATCTGATTACTGAGAAATGTTCTGAAGTGCTTACATAAAAGTAATTGGGAGTCTAGCCGCCAAGTTCACTGGGGTGCTACATTGGCTGGAAAAATGAGATCCATCTGCACTGGGCTGTGATCTGATAAAATTATACTGTGATATTTGCTGTTGGAAATGAAAGGTAGTAGTTGGTTGTCAACAATAAAATAATCAATCCTGGAGCAACTGTGAAGCACGGGGGAGAAGAAGGAGAATTGCTTCGTAGTTGGATTTTTTATCCGCCAGGCGTCTGATAAACCATAAGACTGAAGGAAGGAGTTGATAGTCACTGCAGTTGACGAGAGTGTGTTATTTGACCTTACACTTGACCTGTCTAGTTGGGCATGAAGGATGCAGTTGAAGTCCCCACCTAAAATTAGTTTGTAGGAATTAAGGGTCCGGGACAGTTGAAAAAAAATTCTGAAAGAATTGTGCATTGTCCCAATTTGGTCCATAGATGTTAGCCAGTATTATTGGTGTATTAAATAGCTTGCCCACTACAACAATATATCTGCCATTTGCATCTGATATTACTTCAGAGTGTTCAAATGGAATCCCTTTCCTAATTAAAATTGCCTTTCCCCTTGCTTTGTAGTTAAAACGTGAGTGATATATTTGTCCAATCCACTTACAACTTAGCCTTTTTTGGGAATTGATATTTAAATATGTCTCCTGTAGCAGTATCACATCAGGTTCTAATGATTTCAGATGACTAAATATTTTGCTCCGTTTGACCAAATTATTCAGCCCTTTGACGTTCCAGCTAACGAATGAAATTGCTCCTTGTTGACTGTTTACGTTATCCAGCATCACAGTGCAATAGTTTGTAATGAACCGGTCCAATATGTTGACTATATCTGAGTACTTCAGTATATATTAGAGTTGAGCCATTAGCCACAAATGAACCCAAAAGAAAACAGACAAAAACAAACAGATAAACATAGATAAACCCCTTACCATCCTGGAATCCCGGGCTGGTCTTCCTTTACCCTGAGACTGCCCTGAACACTCTCCTAACTCGCCGAGGCATAAAACACGTCTACACTAACTTGAACTCTCACACAAACTCTGCAAAGGCAGAATGAAATAGGGCTCTCCTTTCAATATTATTATTGCTGCATGTGTGCTGCCACTTATTTGGTCACAGGCTGATGGGATTCTTGACACTTAGAGTTGGAAGATATCACCACAAGGAAAGAACAGAATTAAATAAAAGTGGTTATACTAGTGATAAGGGGATTCGTTAGTAAGCAGAAACAAAATAGAGAAAACGTACTATTAGGGTTACAGCATCAAATTGAGACTTAAATATTAGGCACTTGCATTTACAAGGTAGAGAAAACGAAAACAAAGCAGAATATTAACATTCTTAAATAAGATATTCTCCACAACTCGTGGTGTCAATGTAAAACCTTCACATGCTGTAGGAAGCTATGCATATTCATTCATCATGGATCCTCAGTCCCAATTCTCTCTCTCTCTCTTTTTTTTTTAGTCCCCATTTATATTCCTCAGATAACTGAAAAATGTCACTTAGTATTGTTCATGGTTCAAACATAAAATGCATCCAACTGTAGTGTGGTGCCGTTTACCAGTCAACACATAAGTCAGCGTGTGCAGTCCACTGCAGTGTTAATATGCAGTGTATGTACCTGTTATGGCCTCGTGAATTATCTGTCACTCTCCCTCCGTCTCCCGTGGGTGCAGCTTGGTCTCGATGTAATGCTTTGCCTTGGCCGGGTCGTCAAAGGATACCTGCTCGCCATCTGGGGCCGTGATCTTCAGTATGGCTGGATACAGGAGAGCGTATTTCACGCCCGTACACCGCCGTAACAATCCTCTTACCTCGGTGAAGGCTGCTGTCTTCTTTCTGACGGTGGCCGAGTAATCCGGGTAGATGTAGAAGCATTTACCTTTGTGGGTGATGGGACCTGCACCCATAGCCTTCCGAAGAACATCCACTTTCTCCTGGAAGTAGTGAAACTTGACGATTATTGGCCTCGGTGCATCCCCATCTTTTGGTCTCGGCTGCAGGCTCCTGTGTGTCCGGTCGAGCGTTGGCATGTAGTCGAGAGCGAGAGCTTCCTTCAGCAGTCCGGCCACGGCTTTCTCCGGTCGAATGTTTCCAAGTCCCTCTTCCACTCCAATTAGTCTGCAGTTACTTGCCGCTGCCGGGACTCCAAATCTTTGGTCTTCTCCGCCAACCGGGCGACTTGTGTAGACAGCGTGTCAACTTTAGCTTCAAGTGCTACAACCTGGTTAGCCTGACCGTTAGCTTTCTCCTCGAGATCATCCATGCGAGTTGCGAATGTGGCGTTTTCTTTCTGTACTTCTTCGATTACCTTCGTAAACTCTGCGCGCATATTTAGGATTTCTTTACTTAAATCACTCGCCAGGTTGTCTATTTTCTTGTGCAAGTTACCTGCAGCCGCCGTCACAGACGAGTCGATCTTAGCTAGCACACTCTGCTCAGTTTGCTTTATGGCGGTCATGATTGCGTCGACATCTGACCCTGACACTGCTTCCGCGGGCGGATCCATATCAGGCGAGTCGGAGGCGCCCGGCCCTGGCTTCGGTTTTTGATGTTTGGGCATTTTAAGAGGCTTTGAATGAAAAAACAAAAACACGACTACTCGAGGAGCTTAGTTCTTTAGAGACACGTTTGCACCGACAAAAACAAAAAGGAGAAGAGAAATATTAAGTAAATGTTCAATCTAAGCAGATCTCACAAAAACACGTCTTCACATGTCACTGCTCAGCTGCGCCCCCATAAAGAGATGGGTTTTTGACAGTTTGCGTGGTATATCTACTTCCATCAGTATGCTACTGTGTATTGTATCTGAGGCTAAAGACTAATGGTCCATTTATGGTTATTTAAGTCGGTGGACTTGTTGGACTAGTTCGATGTGCAGGTGTCCAGCAGAGGGAGACCCTGCAACTGCTTCACCCTCACTAAAGATGCCAAAAATGACCATCATGCAAACACTTTTTTAAATCTGTTTTTTTTTTTTTTAAACTGATCAATATATTGTCATTAAGTTGGTGGTTGTAACCTTGTGTGACTTTGACTTGTATGTAACTGTATGTTTAGGGTACACACTCTCCAATATGAGAAGAAAAGGTCCTCCTTGGTACACATGTTCGGATTGTTAAAGCTTCTTGTAACATAACTGAACCACAGATCTATCTGAAGGAGGGCCAAAGACATTTTCATGGTGAAACACACCATAATGCCATTGTTATTTTGAATGGCTCCTATTTTAAAACTGGAATCCTCCTATTGAGGGATGAAAATTACATCCAGCCTGTCATTTTGCACTCAGGAAAACATTCCATTGTCTCATGTATTGTCTACTTTGCCAGTACTATTGTTTTCGTGCTGACAGAAGTCCTCAGAAAGACACTCTTTCAGACATCTCTGTGTGTATTTCTCCAGAGCTTCATTTTATAAATCTATGCTCAAAGTATGTACCTGAAATTCTCCTCCATCCATTTCTCCAGCTGTTTGGTGATCTTCTGTTTCTTCCACTCTTTCATGTCTGCTACAAACACTCCGGGGTTGAAAGAGCAGTCCCTGGGGTTGATGCCCAGGTCTCTAACTTCCTGTTTCCTATAGTCCAGAAAGCCCATGTAGGTTGTCTAGGGGATGAGCTCAGAGGAGAGGACAGCATATTTCAGTTACTAAAGTGAAGTCTTTCTGAATTTTAGGTATATTACACTTAGTATCAATTCCCATACTACTCTAACATGAATAAAATATTTATGAATACACAACAAAATGCATTCATTCCAAATTGAATTAAATAAAATGCACTTCAAACTGAATGGTCGAAAGTATAAAGCTCACCCCTTTAAACCGGCATATTACTATACACTGCAAAATAATGATAGCAATAAAAATCCACCTGCATGCCGATGCTGCGCACCATCTCATGTGTGGAGGGAAGGTCACAGTCTGTGGCGAAAGCAGCAGCATGTCCTGGTTTCAGTTTGATGCTAAACAGATCCTTGATGTCACCTGAAAAGCAAGAAAAGCCTCTTAGTTGGTGAAATACATAAACATACTCCATGTTCTCTGACAGAACTACTGTCAAATGTGATTTGAATTTGTTTTGTCAGTATCTCTATTACAGACAAAGAACAGACACATTTGAAAACCTCCTTGGCTGAGGTCATAACCAGTACATGTAATGTCAATACATGGTGATCTAATATAGAAAAAATAAACTATCAAAGTACAGCATATAATAATTGAAAATGTGTTTGCATTTAATTGTTTAAAAAAAAAGCACCATTTAATAATTTACCCTGAAGAATACGTATTATGACATATTTTCACATGGATTCTGTCATGATCGCATACTCACCCTGCACAATGACATCATCGTCTAAGTATATCACCCTCTTATGGCTGATGTCAAGCAGAGGCAGGTAAAAACGCACAAAGTTGAGCTGCAAAACAAAACCAAAGTTATTTCAGCTCTTTGAAACAGTAACTCTATATTGAAATTGTGGACTAGCACACTGTAGAGATGCATCTGTATGGTATGTTTATTGCCTGAAAGCCAGAACTCACTGGATGTAAGAGATCAGGTCGGGATGAATCTGGCTTCACCTTTCCTTGTAGAACCATTGGGTTAAATTCCAATATCTTATACTGAATGCCTTTTAGCTTTGTCTTTAGTATGTACCTCCTGGGAAAATGTAAAGAAAGTTCCATTAGATATGAAGTTCCTCATGGTAGCCAGTATTACTGGGGAGTCAGGTGACTCAGAAACCAGCCAAGATCTCCACTCCATATTGGGAGCATACTGACAAAATGGTCAAACTACTGTGATCTAAAGCAGAAATGTGGGACAAACCTCGTAAGTTTGACAGCATCACGAAGAGTAACAATGTAGAAGAAAACACTAGCATGTGTGTTGCTGATGATGCTGTTGATGGTTGCCATGGTTGCACCCACATGCTCTTCGGACGCACAGATGATGACAGGGACGACACTATCCACCTCTGACGCTCTCCCTGAGGAAACCTTTGCTGCTCCGCTGAGACGCTTCCTGTGATCTGACAAGAATCGGGGACAAACTGTTAAGAATTGAGATTGTTGTGTCATTTTGAAGGCAGGTGTTTTCAGAGCAGGAGAGTTTGGAATACAATACAGAACTGCCCATGCCTTCCTACAAAGCATTACACAACACTTACTTTGTTCATTTTTTCTTTTAATTTATTTTACACCCTCTTAGCTGTCACATTTTAACAAATGAAGAATCATAAAATAAAAGTAGATGGAGCATACAGGATGTTTATGACATTCACTATATTTGCTGACCACAAGTTTTATGAGGGGATACGTGTCATGACCCCCCAGCCTCAGCCCTCGCCTGTCTTTCTCTTTTCTCCTTCTCTTCTCCCTCCTCTGTCTCTGTCTGTCTCTCACTCTTTGTCTCTCTCCCTCTCTCCCTCTCTTCTCCCATCCATCTCAGCGCTAATCAGGACAATCCCTAGCTAACCCTAACAGCTGCAACACTGGACTCACCTGTTCACAATCACCACAGCTCCTATAAAGGTCATCATCTCTTTGACCTGCTGCCCTCCGGCCGGCGCTTCAGGTCTCTAAGCACCAGAACATCCTGGCACCAGAGCATCTTCTTTCTCAGGCCATATCCCTCATGAACAGTCAGTAAATCACCAAAGACTCCTGTTGCACTACCTCTGTGCATTACTATTATATGCAATTCTTCAAATTCATGTGCAATATTGTATTGTATTTAAACTGTTTCCTAATTTATTACATGGCTTATTTATGTTCTCATAGTACTTTTGATCTACATAGTACTTTTACACTTTTGACTTCTATATTTATTCTTGTCTTGTTATTGAGATGTACCAGCCTCATTCACCACGGCAAATTCCTTGTGTGTGCAAGCTCACTTGGCAATAAAAAGCTTTCTGATTCGGGTCTTTCCTGTTTTATTTTGAAAGCACTAACCTGTTGTCTCTGTCCTACATTCACTTCCTGCCCCCGTCTCGTCACACCTGCTCCCTGATGGCTTTCCCTCACCTGTTTCCCATCTCCCCTCATCACCTCATGTATATTACCCTGTGTCTCTCAGTCTCATTGCCAGTTTGTTGTACTTCACGGTCCTCGTCCAGCGTTCTTCAGTCAAGTCATAGTCTGTTTGTGTATGACTTTGTTTCTGGTTTTTGACCTTGCCTTTTTGCCTCTCGTTTCTGGATGCCTCTGCCCATCTGATCACCTGTTACCGACCTCTGCCTGTTAATAAATCTGTCTTTCTGCCTGAACCCGTCTGTGCTGTGTATTTGTGTCCACCTGTTCTGTTCCGAGTGAGTTCTTGACATTGTAGTTGTATTTGTTTGCATTTAGATTTTTTAACAATAGCATGCTAACTGAATACATACAGTCATTGAGTTTGCTCTTTTTGTGGTTTTTGTTAAAAATATGAAAACTATAACTGGAAATATCATTTAACATCATAGGACTACCAGAAATATAGGCTGAGAAAACATCTGGACATATGAAAAATCCAACCTGAGAGTGTTGGCCGAGTGGATGCTCTGAGCAGTGAACTGTGCAGGAGGACACACACCAGCAGCACCAGCAGCACCAGGAGAACCCGATTAACTGAAAAACAGTTTGTATGTTGGTGCACATAAAGTCATTGAAATTTCAAAGTAACAATGAAACGTGAAAAATTCTTTAGGTATATGGTGTGGAGTCTTCAGACATTTCTGCTTTCAGTATCAGCCTAGATATTTTAGTATTTTCAGTTTATTCTATAACAAAAATATTCACTGAGGTTACAAAGGCTAAGGTGACATCTTCATTCTCCATATTTTGCCAAACCATTAGTCAAAGCCCAAAGATACTCAAGACATGATGATGTAAAACAAATTTTGCTAAACAATTGACATCAAAGAATAATCAGATTGCCAAAGCTAAGCAAGAATAATGAACATCGCTCTTAGTTAGCTTAGCTTAGCATGATTAAAAGCTGAATGAAAACAGCTACTCTGGGTCTGCCAGGCTGTGGTCCTTAGCTTAGCTTCTGAAGCTCAACCAAAAAGAGAACGATTACACAATTAAGTCTTTATCAGCATTGTTTTAAGTTAGTTTTCTATTTATTGAGCCTAATTACTTCAGCACTAAACATTAGCATAAAATCTGTATGAAATCAGATGACATTTAACAGGAATTATAATTTTCACAAAGCAGCAGGTTCACATTGTGATCACATGTTGTTTCCACCATCTGTAAGACAGACCAGAGACAGTAGAGGGTCAAATGTTCATCTGCAACCAGTTACAAACCCATTTCATCAGTTTTGGCCTCTTTTCTAGGTACCACAGCTAATACTAGCAGCTACAAGTTCCAAAGTTGTACAGCAAGTTACCTGAGTAGCAGATTTTCATAGGAAATATCCAGGCCTTACTGTCGCTGCTGAGGGGTTACTCATCAGTCCTTTTGAACTGAATGTGGACCCAGTTGTAAATGTTTGAGATTATTTAGTTTAATCTCATCAACCATGTTTTCTAAAGGTCAGATGAAAGTAATTCCAAATCTGCAGGATAAAAGCAACAATTTTTAACCTGCCGCACAAAGCATGTATCCTTTTTATAAACGCCTTCAGTCCAAACAGCTGCTCACTCAGTGGATGAGTGGATGGAATCATGAAGTATAACTCCTTACAGACTCCTGTCATCTGGTTACTTCATTACACCCTCCCCCCATCACACACACATGTAGTGCATGTGTACTACTGCTTTCCTTCTTCATCCCTGGAGAGAATTTACAGTGACTTTACTGGCAATGACAGCACCAGCTCAACTTAACATTCAACACAAGTTCAGCTGATTCTAATGTTGATGTATTACTGCCCATTTACAAGAAAACAAGACAGACATAAACGTTTTGCCCTTTTCTCGTGTAAATTGATGCCACCTGAGATCATTAATCAGTCATATTAGCCTACATTGGTATTATTTTTTACTTACTTTTCCTCAAGAGAGCCATATTTCATTTTAGCTTCCAGTGACATCTGCAAACACACACATAGAAAGAGAAAGAGAGAGTGTTGAAGTCACTCAACAGAAACACAGCATTAAGTATTCCTCAGCTGTAATTATGATGTGTGTAGACTTGGAGGATTAGCTAGTTTCCTCAGTAAAGTGTTAACCGTGGAACCTGTCCACGGCTAAAGTGACTGAAGTGTCTTTATATTTATGAAGACGACAGCTCACATATGTTTTTGTGGAGGATATAAACTGTAAAAGAGGATTTAAAAATTATATAATTGTGTAAGGTTTTTCTTATTATTGCTGTGAAATAATAGAATGACGGCTTTTTGCAAATCAAGATAAAACACATTTGTAATCTAAAGGATTCAGTGAACAATTTAGATAAAATTATTATCTTTTTAATGAATATCAACTCCTTTAAAATCATTTTTCCCCTCTATGTTGTGTTGAAAATACCTCCAACAGTGTTCCTTGAAAATGTGACTAAGAAAAACTATTTTTTTCTCTAGTTAATGTCTTGACTATATGTCTGTGAAGATTCTCAGTCCTCCAGGTCCTGGTTATTCTGGTAGATTAATCGTAGCAACTGGACATGCTTAAGTTCCTTGAAGACGTTCCACCTCTCATCCAAGAGGCTTCATCAGCTCTGACTGACTAGTTGGGAGTTCCACATACTGATATCCTGAAGGAGACATGAACACCTGAGTTTGGGTTTCCATTGGGGGTTTGTTGCTCCTTCTCCTCGTTATGTGAGTCATTAGTGCTCCCCCTGACACAATGGGGTTCGTTAGGGTCTTTGTGGCTAGGTATGGATGTGGTTTCATCTTCCTGGGGACAGATCTTAGGACTGAATTGTAAACTACATAAATTTATGATCACATTTCTAAGAATGTAAAAACAGGGAACAACAGCAGCGCAGCAGAATGACATACTATTTTCACATGTAATGATGCCTTCTTGTGAACCATTTTATGCCATGAACAAGGTTTTGGATTTCCAAGACACTTCAAGTTCCAAGAGGCATGGTTGGCAGCATTGCATGCAATTTTAAGAATCCTGGCACAGCAGCAAACCTTCCTGGGTGTGGAGAAAAAAGTAACATTTCTCCATGTCAGTTGGACACCTTGAGACTGCCAGAGACCTGATGAAGGCAGGAAACAAAGTACTGAACTAAAAAAAAAAAAAAAAAAGAAGAAACACTGAACAAGTACTTATTCTTGACCAATAAATACCACAAAGTTAACTTGAATATACAAGAAAAAAAGTTAAACAGCCTGTAAAGTTTTGTGAGACACTTTTATGGAGTGACAAGCCTACATCAATCTGTGTGGACTCAGGGATCTGCAGTGTGTCTTGTGTACAGCTTTGATGATACTCGCTTGCAGACATGCACACACACAGCTGTGGCAGTGTTTGCTGCAACTATACTTCTTTCTCATCCACTTGCAGGACTCTGATATGTGCAGCGTCTGTGTAGTCCAGACATAAATACTACTGCCCATTACTACTCCCCTTGTAACGTAGTGACCATGCAAAAATTAATAATGGGCTGCACAAGGATGTCCATGGAGGGGTCCATGTTGCCTCTTTGGCTTGGGGAGATGATAAATTTATGTCATATGGGCCCGAGTGTGAAGTCTTGATTGTACTCCCTTGTGGACAGCTGGGGACACCACAGATGGACACTTGTTATTTTCAAACTACTTTTCTACTCAGCTGTAGTCCACTTGGAGGACTCAGTTCCATATATGCAGCATAGGTTATATCTGTGTATTTCCCTTGTAGTGAAGTCACCATACAGACACATTTTGGACTGCATGTAGACGTCTCTCAAGGGATCCAAGCAAACTATTGTGGCCTTTTGAAGATAATAAAATTTATGCCGCATAGACCCAGCAGACCCTCGCGTACTCATGACACAGAAAATATAACACTGGTCAGAGCAATGTCTGCTGGGCAGCAGCGGGCGGCTGTGGTTCAGGTGGTAGAAGGTAGGTAGTTCAATCCCCGGCCTCTCCACAGTCCAAGTGGCAAGACACTGAATCTTAAGTTGCTCCTCAGCCCCTTGCATGGCAGTTTTATTGCCATTGGTGTGTTAATGGGTAACACTGCAAAGCAACTTGAGTACCACTAATGTAGAAAGTGCAGACCGTTTAGTGTGTATGTATGGAATACATAGATCTACTGCACATGTATGGAACAGAGTCCTCCAAGCTGAGTAGAAAGTAATATAAGAGCAACTACTACGTGACTGCAGCTGTTTGTATGAGTGTTCACGAATGAATATAATCAAGGCTTATTTAGGTAAAGGCCTATGTAACAGCTTAGCATGGAGGTGGCTGGTTGTGCAGGGGTTTTACAGGAACTGGTAAAGCTGACCATGTGACTGATGGTGCATTCTTTGAAATGCCAGGACGTGCCAGCTTATTCTGGTAATAAATGGGATCACTGGCATCCAAGTGTCTGGGGAAAAAAATTCGAATAAAATTTCATGCAAACACAAAACTAAGGAGTTAGGGGAATTTACTTTCGTGTGACAATCAAAGGTTACCAGTTTTAACCGTCCAGGTATGAAAAGACGAGGGAAATTCAAAACCTGAAAATTTTGTTATCAATTTTATCAGGTTACCTCAACTTGAATTTACACAGAAATTTGAGTTGAAATTATTTACAGTATTAAGTTGATGCAAAATCTACATTGACACTAAATCCATAAATTTGAATCTTTTTATCTTGCAACATTGCATCTAATTAAACTATGAGAATTACCTGTTTAGAGTAAAGTCAAAGGTTTGGACACAGCTTTTCATTTGAATAGTTTTTCTTTTTTAAAAAATCATTTGCAGACTAAAACGGACAACATCAAACTACGCGTATTATGAAGAAAAACAAAAAGTAAACCAACTTTAACACTATTGCTTGTAGGTTAGCCAGCTAAAAAGCTTTAAATAAGTAGGTGTGTCAAAAGCACACGCTTGGACACATTTATTTTCACATTCACACACTCACACTTTTGCACATATTATCACTATTGACATGTCTGTTGTACCACTAACATGTCTCATTCATGTTAAATTTCTACTCATCTTTTTTGATGTACTTTTATTATCAAAGGAGACTCGTCTTGAACCACTGTGTCTTGAAGCATTTGCTTTGCTTGATTAACTTACATTAGAAGAAAATGTGTTGAGAGTCAGTCTCAAGACTATTAAATGCAAGTACTAAAGAACCATTGACTGTTTTCCCCCAAAAGCCATGATCCCACTGAAGATCAACACAATGATAAAATGAGTTCATATGAATGCACATTTACTGTGACAAACTGCCAGTGTGACCGGACCTGCAGTAAACCCACTGAGGCCGGCTGCCTGGAGTCACTGGCCAACACATGTGTGTATTTTGTCCAGAATCATCCACCTCTTCCTTCCTTCCTGATGCCAGGGCTTCATCAAGGAATCTATTTGCGCTCCAGTCTCTTAAACTTTTATAGAGCTGCAATAGCAGCTTGCACAGGGAATGATGAAACGGCACATCTCAATAGTCTTTCTGTTTGGTGCTTTTGGGTATTTTATTAGAAAGAGACACAGGAAATTAGGGGAGTGAAGGGAATGACATGGTGTAAAGGTCCAGTCTGCTTGGACTCACTGCTGATGCCATTTGAGGGGTTCAATGCCATAGTGGGCCGAACCACAAAAATTCATTAGTTGAGTTTGATGTGTTTTAGAGCAGTGTTTATGGTCTACTGGTTTGTGGCAAAGTCTTCCAACCAACAGCCCACTAGTTGTGTCACGATGTGACTTTGAAGTTTGGCCCATGATGGTTTTGGCACTAAACTTTTCGTGGCAAACTGGGCCAAGCCACAGGAGCCACTGACCATTATATCACAGGCGCAGGTAGTTGAAATGTGTTTATGATTCAAATGGCGGACAGCGCGACATCAAGCCCCCTGAAAACTCAACTCATTGGTATTGTAAAACAAAAACTTAATTAACCATCACCAAGCATCCATTTCTACCCCATGGTCCTCAAGCGTATCTCTAGTTCCTCATGATGTAAACTCTTCAGTCTTCACTCTGTTTAGCAAGACAAACCTTGATTTTTTTTTTTTTCTCAAAAAGTAGAAAATATGGTCTGGCCCGCTTTGGCACTCAGCAAAAGGCAAAATTAAAACTTACATAAGTCATCACAAAGCAGCTGTTTCTGTCTCTGGGCAGTGTTGACACACCTTTGGATGCATACAATGACTCCTCCAACAACCAGGATTGTTTTTAGCAACACAAAATTTTGACCCCATTTTTCTCTAAAACTAGTAAATGTGGTTTGGCCCCTCATTTGTACCCAAACACATGGACTCTCAGGTCAACACACATCTCTGTAGTCCTGAAGCTCCAAAATCCCTCTCTGATTTCTTCCCATCTCTCCCTCCTTATCCCAGAATCAATGAGCACCAGTGAGTTTTTTGGGCAGCACTAATTACACCCCAAGTGTAAAAAAGTAATAATGCACTTTAATGAGTTCATCAGTTAAAAATAAGACACCTACTCCTTTGCCAGCTTGTTGTGTTGCAGCCCTACCCAGGAACCCACTGACTTAAACCACAGTCAGCTGAGATGAAACAGGACATGTGGTTTGTGCCATGCATTTGTTTCTGGTTTGTTTGTCGCTGTTCAGAGCCGCCCAGAACATCTGGAACTGATCGGCTTCACTCTCTAACGTACTGCCTGCAGTCAGCATTTGAACAATTACTGATCCATTGAAGAACTTTTTGTGTCACATTGTTCAGCATTTACACCTCTGTCACATGATTTAAAGTCATATTGGTTCTTTATTCTAGAGAAAGCAGAGATACTAAACATCAGGATGAAAGGCATTCACTCTGTTTTACATGATCTTCCTTAATTGCTTCATTTAGACATCATTAAGAAATGTCAGAAAGTTCAGTTATTTTTTATTTAGTTGCACAAAGCTGACAGCTAATTAAGTGTTTTTAATAGG